TTGACAGCATCTTTGGCCTGCGTCGATCTTAATCGAACTAACATTCTTCGGTGCTGAGGACTCGAGGCTTAGAAGCGACGAATTCGTCTGCACCTGTTCAGTTGAAGGAGCTACAGCTGCACTCTTGCTGGAAATCGAGATGCCATCGATCAACGCATTGAGCCTATCGTTTTCCTCCTGAAAAGTCCCAATTGGCTCTGAACCCGATGAATCCAGAACTTCGATAAGCGGCGCTTTGCTGGTATCGAAACAAAACAAGCAGCAAGTTAAAACCATTGCAACTTTTTTCATACAACATTATTCCGACACACCGTTGCTTGTCGGACTTTACATCAATTGATGGCCGCTGCGGTTGCAGCAGCTTGGTCAACATGTCGAGGTCTGGGAATTCCTGGCCGGGCTCCTTCTTGGGTAGATGCACCACAATCGTTCCATTCTCCTGCACCACAACACTACGGTTAGCAACCTACTGCATCGCAATTACATCAGCAATTATCAGAGCGTTATACCTTATTGGGGTCGTACACTGCCTTTGCCAGCTCGTCGTCCACCACCTCGTGTGGGAAGTGCAACTTGAGCAGGTACGGCTTACAGAAGAAAGTGAAGTCTACGTTGTCCACATAGAACTCCATATCCGATACGCGCACAAACGGCACATGCACATGCACAAACACCCACGCGGCGTCCTGCGTCACATGAAACCTGGGCGTCGCCACCATCGCTCTACCCGCGTCAATTTAAATTCAAAGATGGCTACAGCTCGCTACGCCAGTCACACTCACATTTGTGTTGGAAACGTAAATTTATAGTACTGTGTTTACATCACTCAGTACGATGAATGTATTCGCTTAGGTACGACACTTTGGATCGCAACTGGGGAGAAACAGAGGAGAATCTCGACGGCTTTACCGTAGTTCGTTTCAGTTGATTATGACGGCGGACGTAGCAATGACGTCGGCAGATGACAGCGCTGGTCTCACCAGCTACTACGAGCAGAAGATCGAGCACCTGGAGCTGACGGTGCGTGACGAGACGCAAAACCTGCGGCGTCTTCAGGCGCAGCGCAACGAGCTCAACTCGAAAGGTGAACTAGATACCTTTTTCGCCAATTATTGATAAAATTAAGGGTTCTTACCACTGTTGCTTCGATGAAGTCCGCTTGCTGCGTGAGGAGCTGCAACTGCTGCAGGAACCGGGCTCGTATGTGGGCGAAGTAGTGAAGCAAATGGGCAAGTCCAAGGTGCTCGTCAAGGTGAACCCAGAGGGCAAGTACGTCGTGGATGTGGACAAGACCATCGACATTGCCAAGTGCACACCCAACACGCGCGTGGCGCTACGCAATGACAGCTACGTGCTGCACAAGATCCTGCCCACGAAGGTGCGCATCAAGCAAAGTGCTTGGATCCCGAATTATTAATTATGTGAAACCGAGGATCTCTAACTTTATATGCATAGGTGGATCCGCTGGTGAGCCTGATGAAGGTGGAGAAGGTTCCCGACTCAACGTACGATATGATCGGCGGTCTGGACAAGCAGATCCGCGAGATTAAGGAGGTTATCGAGCTGCCTATCAAGCACCCGGAGCTTTTCGACGCTCTGGGTGTGGCCCAGCCCAAGGGTGTGTTGCTGTACGGACCTCCTGGTACAGGCAAGACGCTGCTGGCTCGTGCTGTGGCTCACCACACGGACTGTACTTTCATCCGTGTGTCGGGTGCAGAGCTGGTGCAGAAGTACATCGGCGAAGGCTCGCGTATGGTGCGCGAACTCTTCGTCATGGCCCGCGAGGCTTCCCCGTCCATTATCTTTATGGACGAAATCGATTCCATTGGTAGTTCCCGTATGGAAGGCGGCGGTGGCGACTCGGAAGTGCAGCGCACGATGCTGGAGCTGCTGAACCAGCTGGACGGCTTCGAGCCTGCGCAGAATATCAAGGTCATTATGGCTACGAACCGTATCGATATCCTGGATGCCGCTCTACTGCGTCCCGGGCGTATTGACAGGAAGATCGAGTTCCCGAACCCGACGGAAGGGGTGCGTTTTATTTGCTTTTATGCTGTTAAAAGCGGACGAGTTAGTAATGATATGTTGTGTATTTAGTCGCGTATTGATATCATGCGCATTCACTCGAGGAAGATGAACTTGCTGCGTGGCATTAACCTCAAGGTTATCGCCGAGAAGATGCCGACCTCTTCAGGTGCCGAGTGTAAGGCTGTGTGCACAGAAGCGGGTATGTTTGCTCTGCGTGAGCGTCGGATCCACGTGACGCAGGAAGACTTTGAGATGGCCGTGTCCAAGGTCATGAAGAAGGACTCTAAAAGAGACCGCTTCTTCAACCGATCCGGCCGGTACAAGAAGTTCCGGTTTTCCTGCTTTCATTGCTTCACACACCTCTATCTTATTTAGCCGCAGCCTGGCTTTTCTTAATGTTCGCCAAATGCTCCTCATACGTAGCGGCAAACAAATGCTCCTGGCTGCCGTCCTTTTTCGTTACATAAAACAGATAATCCGATTTCTCCGGCTCCAGGGCCGCTTCAATCGACTTCAGGCTTGGGGCCGCAATCGGTCCCGGAGGAAGGCCTGCATAAATATAGGAATTATAAGGGCTGTCCAC